TGTCATGAAAATAATTTACAACTTAAATTAACTTGTATGGACTCAACCTTGCTCACATAAACATATGCATCAATCATTGCATCCATTGGCTATGACTTTCGGTAAGAAATGCTTTCGCTTTGCAAATAACGGAGCTTTTTCTTACATACCTGTTCCGTTCTCTAAAATGCAATGTCAGGAAGGGAGGTTCATAACAAATACGATATTTCCATTTCAAAATTCCTAAAAGGCCCTTTACGAACTTCAGAAGTGGCATTTCTGCGTGGCAATAAAGCTCTTCTTGGCGCCCTGCGAAATCTTCGATTGCCCTGCGAAATCGACTATTTTTTGGATTGGGGGTGTTACACCCCCCACACCCCCCCGGTAGTTTCGCCCCTGGACAAGGGGTCCTTTTTCCATAAAGCGAGTGCCCCCGGTGTTGTCGAGTCATTACCATATCTCAGCTGTTACAAAATAGAACGTTGTTAGGCAGTTATAAAAAATAATAGGAATCATATTACTCACCATGCTTTTTTCATTCTTGCTTAGTTCTTTGTCTTGTTTTGGTTTGCGAACTGAAGGTAGAGCATCACGTCGAAAAAATGTTTTGGTGTTTTCGGTGTGAAAAAACAGTCGGAAAAGGTGCTCTTGAATAAGATGATGGCTCGATATCTTTACGCTTCCTTTTTTAATAAGTAATACCAAGCGGCGAACTTCTGTTGGGGCAGGTTTTCCAGGATGGCAGTCAAGCAAAACGGTATCTTCCTCAAGGGGGTATTCGTTCCCTAAAGTCATGCACAATGGTTTATTACCGTAATGCACTTACCTGTTTTATAGTAAAAGTTTTCTAATTTTGTTCTTGAACATCATGTTTATTTTTGAATAAGCTTTTCTTAACTAACTTGGGTTGGCCATATGATAACATTGTGAGTTGCGAAATTATGACCATAGCCGGCTCACTTTATTTCAATTTTTATCAATTTTATAATGAACCAAAAAAATTTTCTAATTACTTTCCGGCCTTTGATGGCATTGCTTAAGTTATCTAAATAAAACTTATTACAATATGGAGGAAAAAAATCTTTAGAGGGACAACAGTAGTGCCCGCACATAGTGAAACCATACAGAAGCCTTGCTCTATTCAACGGATACACAACCACTTTACGTCACAGGGGTCACGTGACCACAGGTTCGACCGCGTTTTTGTTGTGACACATTTTAGCTCGAGTGGGTGTTGGAAACAGGGGCGAAACTTCATTAGGGGGGTATGAAGCTTAGATGTCCGACAAAAGGGCGTGGCATGCTTGATGAAAGGGCGTGTCATACATGAACTTCATCTTAAGAGCACATCGCTTCAAGGGCTGAAATCGTCGGGAAGCCCGAGAGAGAGTCTCACTCAAACTAGAC